AAATAAAGAAATCATTTTCAGCAGATAAACACTGAGATCATCTTTCTTTTTGAACATAATCCAAACCACATCCCAAACTACATTCTTCCATAGAACAGAAACTTGTAATGTGTGCATACTCGAAGCGAAGATGGTTGCTATTTTGGATATCTCTCTATACCTTCATACCTAATCAAACTCTCAACAGAAATTAAGAACAAAAGGCTGATCTTTCATCTGAGGTCAAACATAATTGTAACAACTAAACTTTGAAACAACCCACCACCAAAAGGAAGAAAATCAGTAAATTAAAAAAAATAAACGCTAATCAAGTTCATAAACGATACAAAATATCAGAAAAATTAGCAAGCGCGTGATTTAGAGCTTAATCTCATTCTTAATAAAAAAAAATTAAGACGCGTAAGAGATATAAACTTACGTTTCCCCTCGAGAAGAAATCATAGGCCTCTTAAGTTGAGGAGCCATGTAAACGTCGTCCCTCGACCTCTTCATCTCCTCCAAACAATCAAATAAAAAAAAAGAAAAAGAAAAAGAAAGAAAAGACACTGTCCTTCCTCTCTTCACCAACAAATCATGCCTCAAAACTTGCTGCAATTACAAGAACTCACTCGTTCAAAAAAAAAAAACCGACGAACACAAAGCAGATCTAACCACCGGAAAAGCTTTAGAAATCACAAAAACAAAGAATTTCATCCTCACCGGCAAACAGATCACCTCGCGAATTGCAACAGAAATTCACCAGTAATTCACATTACTTGCATATTAAGGAACGTGAAACAGATATCGAGAAACGGATTTAACAATCGTTCACTCTCCGAATCGTCGGCAAATTATTAAAAAAAAAAAAAGTCTTCTTCGGACGCAAGCTATTCCGAGCAGAAAAAGAGAAATCAAAGGAAACTCTTTCCACACGTATTGGGGAAGGATTTCGTGAAGTCTAACGAGATTCGAAGAAGGAAAACGATGAAATTAAAAACAGAAACGAAGTTTGATTTTCTTTTTGTGATTTTCTCGAGAAAGAAACAGAGGAAAGAATTGCTGTTTGTTTGAAGAGAAAGGCTTTAGAGAATGCGATATGAAATATAACGCGAAGGAGAAATTAAAAAAAAATAAAAAACAAAAATTGGAGATGGCAATTTGGACGGCCGGTAGCCGGTGGCCTGAGGGATGGATTACCGGTTATAGGCAGTTATCATATTTACAAAATTGGGGTTGCATTTAGGGATTTTAAAGTCAATTTTCAGCAGATTTTAGAGCGTAGTAAGGCACGGCCCGATTAGGACGGAGGAAGGAGGATACAATAGTGGCTTTTTGGCAAATTAGTAAAAATTGAAGGGTAAATTTGAAAATTAAACGTTGAGGATAAGACTTTCCTGGGATTAAATGGTGTGCATGCTTCGATTGTGGGATGAGAGTTTAACTTGTTTAACATAACTCAACCATCAAAATATGTGTTTTAAAACAGTTTAGTTTTAGTAGAAGTAAAATATTTAAGATAGATAATGAAATGATTTAGTGATTAAAAATTTTGATATTTTAAATTAAATCTTAAATTTGAATATCGAATCGAGTAGAGGAGAAATTTTAAAAATAAAAAAGAATTATCTCTTTTTGTATAATTCATTCAAATGTATAAAAAAATGATATGTAAGATGAGTAAGTAAAACAAGTTAAAAGATGGGAGAGAGTTTTTTTTTAATTATTATTATGTAATTTAAAATAAAAAAAATAATATAAGTTCAGATGAATAAAAATTTAACTAAATTGATAATTATTAGGTATATGATTGTAAAATTTAGAGTTACGGCAAAACCCTCAAATTCACCTTAAAAAAATATTGATAGTGACACATCCACCCTTAAAAAAAAAAAAGACAAACTGCCTCTCCAAATCATAAATGAATACAAATCACCTTTTTTCAATGAAAAACATTAAAATTTTGTTTGTTACATTAGTATTTTTTAATGGAAAACGTTATAAAAAAAGGATGATTTGTATTGATTTATGATTTGAAGGGGCAATTTGTCTTTGCTTTTTTTTTAAGGGTGGATGTGTCCCTACCGATATTTTTTGAGGTGAATTTGAGGATTCTGTCAAGATTTATAATGTGAACAAGACCTCACTTATAATTATTGATTAAATTATAAGTTTAATAATTGAGACCTCATTCGGTTTTATTGGGGAGGTAGGGTGAAATAACAAAATTTTTTAGAAAAAGACTGTAAAATTTGTACTTAATTATAATTATACTCAACATTAGAAAAATAATATAAAATTAGGGATTTTTAATATAGGTGGATTTAAAGGTCTAAGTAGACGTTTTTTTGGACTTTTAGGTGTCATTGTGGTTGGGTTGGTTCTTTAGGCCTCTCCCTTTTAAGTCAGGGAGTGGTTAGCAAATTGGAAGTGTTTATATGTGATCATGATGATAAAGGTCGGTGAAAAAAGAAATATTAGAAAAAAGGGGTTAAAGTGAAGAAAATAAAGTTGCATATTAAAAGGAAGAGGCCAAAAGAGTGATTTCAAAATGATCAAAATTCAAATGAGATTATTATTATTATTATTATAAAAATAAAAATCAAGATATTCTGTTATTTTTATAAAATTATTTAAATATCTTTAATAAAATTTTTGTATGTTGATTTATTAAAGATATTTTAATTTTTTATTATCATTTTTAATATTTTAATTAATAAGGCATCTTAATTTTTTTCTATTATTATTATTATTATTAATTTTAATGGGGTCGGTTATTAATGGATTTGATTGAAGTGGGGAAAGTAGAACGGGCCGGGTAGCTGATCCAGGCAGCAAGTACAAGAACAAGATTGTCCTTTTCTGGGTCAAATACATTTGAGCACAGTCAGGTGTAATTTAATTTTGGGTTTACATTTGGGCCTATTTGCATTTGATGGAGGGGTATATGGTTATGGGCATATTTGTGGAGGATGGATGATTTGCTTGTTATTGGGCTCTATGCCGCAAGCTTACTTGGACATATTTCTGGATATGATTTTCATGGGTTTGGTGAGCTTAACAAGGTAGAGCAGGTTATGCTCTCTAGCTGAACAGTGGACAATCAACTCAAAGCCCAGGTGATAAATTTCTTTCATTTTTGCTTCTGTCTTCCAATTTCCTTCCAAAATTTTGCAGTTAATATATGCAGCTAAGCAACCTAATCTCAGTTATGTTAAAAGAAAAGTGTGGAGAGAGAAATGTCAACTTTTCAAGCATGCCAATATGAGGAAGGGTTCGGGTTTTACCATGCAAATGATGAATAAAGTCAAAAACAAAAAGTCAAGACATTGTCCAAGGGCATTTGGTCTAGTGGTATGATTCTTGCTTAGGGTGCGAGAGGTCCCGAGTTCAATTGTCGGAATGCCCCACTTTCTTTTTCCATTTTCTTTCCTTGAGTTGAAGTTTTCTTCATTTCTTTGGGTTTCTTGACCCCAGATTAACCTAGTCCCATTTAATGGCTATTGGATTATAGGTAGAGAGTAAGAATTTCAGAGAATGATAGAAAGTCCAAATCATTATATTTTCTTGATTGGGTAAGCTTACCCTGCCTACCTAATCCCCAAACTATAGAAACCAAAATGCCATCTTAAATTTATTCAATCAATTTCTTTCCTTTGGCTACAATCAAATTTAAGTCCAATGATTGTTAACATTTCAGCCTCTTCAACATTATTTAATGCTCTACAAAAATACCAAAGAACTAAACCATTCTTCTTCCTCTTTCATGCCAGCAATTCAAGCTTCATCAGCAGCCCATATGATTGCTAAGGAACTAAAATATACAAAAAAAAAAAAAGGCTGACAGAATACAGAGATATAAATTCTTTCTTTTTCTTGCTTTTAATACAAAATTTCCCACCCACAGTGAAGATAAAGCCAAAATACAGTCTATGATTGTTCTGTTACTTCCATGTGGAAACATGGTAGACGGGACGGGACGGGACGGAGAGCCGCTCTGCTTGCAACAATGTATGGACCCCCACCACCAATTTTAGCTCTTTTTAACTCTACAAGACATCATTCTTTAGTGTCTCAATCATATAGATAATAATGGAGAAGACAGAGGAGTCCTCAATAATCTTTCTTTTCGTTAGGTTTTTGTCAATGTTTTAAATCACGGGTACGATGTGCCATATGTGACACATGATACTTTAAATTTATTAATACACAAATTAGTTTAAGTATTTTGTTAATAGAAGTTGAATTATATTACTTCATATCTTAAAATTTTTCTTATTTAATTTTGATTAAAGTACATCAAATCAATTCAAATTTTATAAATCAGAATTTAAATTGATACACTAATTAGATTGTAAAGGATGTAGCTTCATTAGTTTGGATATGTCCTAATGATAAAAATGCATGAAAGATCCAAGGAACATTGATAAGGAAACCTGAGAAGACCGCAGATTAAGAGTATTTGGAATTTAGGATCATGAATTGTACTGCCACGTGCCGTGGGGTGGCCAATTAGAGAATGTTCTTGTGGGGATGCCATGCCACCTCTATAATTATTATATTACTCTGTTCTACAATACAAAAAGTCCATGTTTTCGCTTTGATTTTCTTCTTCTTCAATGTAGTACTCAAGACGTGCATGTGGAAATGTCTCTTTAGGAGGAGAATACACATGGAAGTGAAAACAAAAGATGGTGGAAAAATTCGATGGTTTTGAGCAGGATTTCGGCCTGCCCATGTGAATGTCTTGCAATCAAAGGACAAGTTTGTTAGATATGCTATGCTTCTTGGTCAATGGGCATATGGATTGATCATTGGCCCTAGCTAGTATCTAACATATATCTCCCCCCCATCTCTCAATTTTTTACTTTTGGCCCCTGTGAGTGGATTCTGTATGGTTGGTCTTTAATACCGGCACTTGGATTAACTCGATCTATGGTCATGTCAAGGTTTGAGTGCATGGTTGATACATTCCAAAAATATTTTTCTTTTTGTTGTAACAACTGAAATTTAATCAAGCACACTTTTTTTCTTTTTTAATACTGATAGATATATTTTTCAGTTTAACACATTTTTAAAAAATTATTATTAATTTTTATATAGAATTAAAAGTAAAAAAACTTAAAAATACTATCATACATATAACATATGAAAATTAATTAAATTAATTACATATATATAAATATATTATATTTTAATAACTGAACCGATTAATTAAGTGTTTGCATGTATGTCAAAAATAGAAAAATATCCAAATGATCTCATTTTCTTTCTTTTTTTTTTCTTTTATAAAAAAGATCTTTTGGTTTTATTAAAAGTTATTTTAAACGTTTAAATAGTTAGAAATTAAAATTCCAAACTTGTTACTATTAGATTAGATCTTTGGTGATTAAACATTGAATTTAATAATTAATTTTTAAAATTATTTTATGCTGTTCATGATTCAACACTTCTACAAAAGATCTGTTTATCAAACAGGACTAGTTCAAAGTTAGGTGCAATAACAAACTCTAAATTGCATATTACATTAAACGGTTAATTGCTTAACATCTAAGAAGATTGAACATGATTGAACATGTTGTTTCTTATAACCCATTATAAAGATTCTATATGATCTTTTCCAGGTAAAAATTATTTTAGACCCAATTTAAAAAGTTACTCTGACCTACAACGGCGAGTGACACAAGCAAATATCAGACCGAACAAGCTAACTTGAGATCGACTGGTGCATGCTCCTTCATGTTCTGTTGGCTTGTTTGTCTCTTCTTCTTTATAATCCGAATCTTTAATAATCACTACCAATGATCACTTTGTCATACTTATCTTCACATGATCATATGATGAGTTTTTTTTTTTTTTTTAAACTAATTTACACGGGGCAAATTCATGCTACATAACAAATTGAGGATTACATACCAAGGAAAATTCTCTCATTTCATCTAATATATTTCACCTTATCAAGGTCTTTGAACAAGCTTTTTTTACAGCAGAAAGCTAGAAAAATCAGTTTACATAAGAGTGAGGCTATTCATATGATCGTTTTGGCTGGAATATTCACGCAAGTGTTGAGCTAAAACCATAGTGAGCCCTGCATAAAAAGAGCTGCGTATATTTTCACATTAGCTTTTGCATTCCAACGGTAGAACCTAGCTATTCAAAGATAGTTGCATCATAACTTAAAATTTAACAATTTTAGAGTTTTTGCCCTAATTCCATGTCTAGTAACTAATCGGCAATTAATATATCAAGATTGGTAACCCTAAATGAACTTAGTTGAAATGATGCTTTTGCTTAGTACATAGAATTCTTCTAATTTAATTAATCAATTATGATATTCTACAGAGGCTAACTTTGCTAGGGCATCTTTAGTTTTTAAGCTAGCTAACTAATTAACTTGTCTAGACCATCAATGAAATAGTCTAATAGTTTTGTTTCCTATTCTTTTAATCACATGTTTAAAATTAATATTTAATTTCTATATATATAACACTAATTTTTATTGAATTCCAAACCCTTTCTATTTCTCCTCCACTTCAATCAATTAGGTAAAGTAGGGTGGAATTTAATTGTTAATGAAAAAGTGTTTTATAACAATTCAAATTGTTTTAAACTGTAAAATATTGACTTCTAAATTAAAGGGATTTTTAATGTTAGAAGCTTTTCTCTATTTAAAGGTCTTATTTTATAACTTAAAATGGTATGAACTATAAAACATGAGACTTGATTATTAATTAACATAATTTCCTTAATTAATAAAACCGGCCCCCTTTCAAAAGTTAGTTTGGAGAATCATTTTCTCTTTTCCTTCTCTTTTTAATAAACAATTACTTCTCATGAAAGGTAGGTATCTTCAATATTCTTTTGAGTACTAACATGCTTATCGACCATGCAGGAAAACACCACCAAATGTTGTTGAGGGATAATTGTTTTTCACGGCAAAACTTAATTGGGCCTATGCCTCTAATCAAAAGAGATATATATAAATTTAATCTAATACACATGTAAAAATGATCCATAATAATCGCAAAAGTAAAATAAAACGACAAAGTTTGAGCCAGTGGACAATTTAAATTCCACAAGAGTGAGCAAAGGTGTGAGTGTGTGACAAATTGGGCAATTAATGTTGATAACAACAGCACAAGGCCAAAAACTGCCAAGCCATTTCATCATCAAATTGAACATGCGGTCACATGGATTTCTAAGTTTCTAACTTAGTGTCACCATCCTCCCTTTAGCTAAGAGGGGAAATGGAAAATGCTCAATTTTTAACCATATCAGTTTCCATTTCTGGGTTAGTCCTTACTTGCTCAGCATCATTAATTGCAGTTTAACTAAATTCACGGACCACTCTCTCCTTTATAATCAACTTTCTGGTGCACCCTCTTTTTGGCTCCCTTAAAGGTTTTTGACGCTGTAATTGTGTTATGCCTTGGCAGTAAGCAGTAGGCTTCTAGGTAGATACTAGATAGAGTGCCCACAATTCCATAATTAATGGCTTTTATCATACTTAAAATAGGTTTTAGTGAAATTATTTTCAAGTTATGTACATGTTAGATTTACTTTTCTATTTTAATCAAATGCAAACTATTCATATTGGAGTCACGAGTGGGCTCTTGTTACTTTTATTTAACCTTTTAAATTATATTGATAAATTTTATATTATTCTGTTTAAACGAATCTAAAATAATCATAATAACAACATGTGTCTTAATTGTTCTCCAAAGATTCATTTATCGATCTTTACGTCAAGGAGATTTGTTATCTTCTCAAATATTCTCTATATAACACCAAAATTGATCATGAAGATGGGGAACAAACAACAAATTAACCCCATTGTTTTATGATCATGGTCACATGCATAACAACTATTTACCAAAGTTATGTGTCTTCCACAGAACTAGATCACACAGTTTTCATTTGCTGCTTTTGAAAGAAATTCTCCACTCCCCCCACCCCCCCCAACTCCCTCTCCTCCTTTTGTCAAAAAGGAAAGAAAAGAACAACTAAATCTTAGGTACAATCAAGTTTTGGAGGCATGCATAATGCATTTGACAATTTTTTCCTTTTTTATTTTTTATTTTTTATTTTTTATTATTTTTTTACAACAACCTTTAGATTCAGTTCATTAAATGCACACCCTCCCTGTCACGTGACCCACAAATAAAAATAAAAAATAAAAAAAAAACCCCTCGCACCCAGAACTCCCTCACATGCTCTACAATAACTTTCTGACTTTACTCTTCACCCTAGATTTAATTCTTCTTTAAAAAAAAAAAAAAGAGTAATGTTTGACATCCCATGTGCTGCATTTGGAATTTTAATTCCTCAATAATATAATTCAATTTTATTATTGGAGAATATGTGAAAAAATATATATAGTTACAGAAGTGTCAGATGAGAT